CATTCCCTTTCTCTCACACACACACACGTTAAGCCCACGCCTCATCCAGCTCGACAGCAGCTACAAAGAAATTGCAAGGAGTGTCGACAGATAAGGATGTACATATGTGTGTGTGGGAGGGGAGTAGGTATAGTTGCGGGGGGGTGGGGGTTGATGGGGTGCATTCAACTAAACCAAATAAGTTCCACTAGACTGGCCACAAAGTGTGAAGCGTCTTCGTCTCACGGCTGCCAGACAGATGAAGCGGCAGCTAGTCTCCCGTGGTCCCAGATACTATATCATTTTTTAGTGTTGGGCAGCCGCAAAACGAAAGAGAGCAGCCGAAACAGGACAACGATAAGGATCTTAGATACATACAGCACTTAGACAACTGAATTCATAAAAAAAAAAAACAGACGAGCATGCTCCACTAGCAGATATCCTCTAGTGAGTTCTCAAAGGATGCAGCCAAGGACCTTTACCAGCACATAGAGAACAGATAGAGACCATAAAAACAATTCACAATTCTCGACTAGCCTCTGGTAAGATCCAAAAGGGAACAGGACTGCATACCCTAATATGCAGAAAAAGAAGAACAAAGTTTCAAATTGTGGGTGAATGTAAATGATAAGCAAATGAATATTGAAATGAATATCGAATGGGAATATTTATAGATTTCGGATTGGAATACTGAAAAGTATTAGTTATTAGTATATGTCACATGGCAATTAATCATAAATAGAGAAAATTTACACTTTTAATATAGAAAAGTCGAATGTTTCAATATGGAAATCGTATTTATATTATTTCTTATTATTTGAATACATTTAGTACTAAGATATTAAAAAGAAAATATTATAAATATAAAAATTGAAACTTTAAAAAAGCAAAAAACGCATATGGATATTTCAATAATAGATTTCTATTGTCTGTCACAAGCATTCACATAACTCAATATACCCTTTCTGTCTTTTACTACTTGAACATGTTTGCTGGGCATAAAAGGGCCAAAATCCCGAGCCTCAGAATATTCCGAATTCTGTATTCCGTATCCCGTAACCCGTATTTGGTATCCAGAAGGACGCCCGCACTTGAATTAAATATCTTACGGTACTTATTTTGGTGTGTGCTTGTGTGTGTGCTGCATGCGACGAGACATTCCATATGCATTCAGATACACACACACACACACACACACACACACACCTGCATTTACACACTTGTGCTAAACCAATTTGTCTGACTGCTTGCGGTGATGATGATGTCTGTGTGTGTGTGTGAGTGTGTGTGCTTGTGCAGTTGTGAGTATGTATTTAATTGTAAATATTGTTGCTGCTGCTGTTGGGCGCCAAGGTACAATCGAATAGTTATCGATTGTTTCTCACAAACGTAAGAATGCTTAAGCCTACAACAGCGATTCGATGATTATTCATACTTAGATGTTGATTCAAGTGCTTAAAGTTGAGTTTGGCAAACTCTTCGAGCTGCCCACGGGTGCCACTAAACTAAACTAAAGCCACATTACAACCGAGCAGCAGTTGTAGTTGCTGTTGCTCACTTGAAGGGTATATCGTCCAAGGATGGTGCATGAAATTCATCTGCTTGCCAGCTGAGGTATAATTCAACTAGAGTTTATCAACAATATGTTAAGGCATACACATTCCGGATTGAAAAGGATATATATTCATAGTTACCATCGATACTTATCGATACATAGAAAACGGGGGGAAATATCGATAAATTTATAGTCTAGAAACATTCCACATTTGAAAGCTCCCTCTCTCACATACTTAATCTGAGATCGGCAGAACACTTTTCTTTAAAATTACTATCGGAAATCGATTCTTATCGATATTTACGAAACAGAGAAATGTATTGCCAAAATGAAACAAAATAGATCCGCATATCATATATACTGCTACTTATTATCAAAATTTGTAGTCGCTAGATATGGTTATAGTCTCAGAGATAGCCTTGTTCATAGAAGCAGACAGACGAACACGGTTGGATCAACTCGATTGTTGATTTGCTAATCAAGAATAAGAATACTTAGGCCTCGATTCATTTTGCTTATATGTATGTAGGGTGTCTCAGTGTCGCTTTTAGTCAACTTTTCGTTGGCTGCTTAGCCATCCTGTTTATGTTCAAGGGACTGTCGACGAGGCGTCGGCACTTTCTTCGTTTTGCAGCCTCATAAGAAATTCATAAGTATTTCCGCTTCTGTGATTTTTGATTCGGTAATTAAAATGCAACTGAGATTGCGTTACATCTCTGTGTGTCTGTGTATGTGTGTGTTTCTGTGTGTGTGTGCGTGTGTGTGTGTGTTTATGTATGTGTGCGTGTGTGTGTACAGGTTTGTGTAGAACATTTGTGCACAGAGTAGAAGCATTTTTCATTTGTGGATGCTTATATTTGTTATTGTTGTTGTTTGTGTGTTTGGGTTCTGTTGATTTACTTTACACACCAACACACGTATACCTTCCAGCACACACACACACACACATGTAGAGCACTTTAGTTCCAAGAGGCACTGGAACTGTTGAATCTGTTGTCAGGTGCTTAACTAATTGCTCGGGGTATATAAAATGTCTGTGAAGGAGTACAGTACTCATTGGCAATGTGTGTGAGTTACATTCAGTGAAAAGAAAAATTAAATAATGAAATTGTGACTTAATAACTCATTTAAGTGACCTGGAATTAACTAAACACATATTTCGATTATAGCGAAAAGGTCACGATTAAATAAATAATATTTAGTTAAAAAAATTAATGACCAAAACTGACAATTGCAAAAATTAATTTGTACTTTTTGGAACTACATTTACATTATATGAAAATTGACTGAATGCAGAAAAATAAATGGAATATCTGTCTCTCTCTCTCTCTCTCTCTCTGTCTGTCTGTCTCTTCTTAATATGGAATGTGGAATTGCTGGAATTGCTGTGGGGTAGCTTGTTCGAGGGTGGGGTGTGCAAAGGATGGGTGTATGTGAGGGGGTTTCTTTGCCACTGATTGCTTAAGCGCATTCCAGCAAAGCTTTGATTACTCGAATGGTTTCTAAGCACCTGGCCAGATGCTTCGGCACGGAAATGCAACAGTCGCAAAACGCATTATCTGCTTCAGCTGCCAAGTGGACGACGACCAGAAAGACGCAAAAAGAAGAAAAGCAAGCAGCCGACCAGCTCGATGGCAAAAAGCAAACTAAAACCAAATCAAGATGAGCAAAAAATAAAAACAAATAAAAATATATAACATTCTATAATTTCATTTACAAAAGTTTATCTACAAGTGCTCGATTTGTCGGAAAGCGGGATTCCGGCAACAGGCACCGCACCAGCAATGCGACTGAGAGTAAACAGAAGCCAAAGAGGCACAGGCCAAGAGGCTCTCTCTCGGGACAAAAATAAAAAATAAAGTACAACAAAAAACTAATGGCATCAAAGAAGCAAATCAAATATTGCTCGAGTGCCACTGGTAGCAACAACAACCAACAACATTCGACGGTTGCCGTATAAGAAAACATGCAGATGGTCCGTCAAAAGTTTTCACTGTAACTCTCGAATGATAAACCGCGGAGCAGCCGGTTAAAGGCCACCAAGGGGACAAGGCTAACACGGCAGGGAACAGGGGACAGGGGAGAGCGGTGCTAGGTAGCTGCGCTATCTTTCGAGGCGAACGAGTTTATATGATTTTGATGAATTTCCGTGGCAACGACGCCAAAATGAAAATGAAAATGTTCAGCAGAAGCGAAAGAAGGAAACAAGTCAAAAGTGGCACCCTTCGGGAGAGCATCGAAAGCATGACGATCCAGATACCCTGTAGTTATATATATATATACAAATACATATTCAATTTTGATACATTTTGGTGCACACTTTCTAATCCTTTTATCAAAACAGAACCGATTTTCATAAGCCAAGCAAATTTGATCATGACTTTTCCACGATTTCAATGGTCTATAATCCGTTTAAAATGAAAAACTGAATTCATGCTTATAAAGAATATATGTAATTCTATGTTGCCCTTTGGGGTCACTATTCAGGCAAACAGGGTATTCAAAATGAGTGTTGGACGAGGGCGGACAGGGAGGCAGGGAGGGGGACGCGACTCGATAAGTAGCAGTTAGGATTTCGCTGCTCAACATCCGCGCTTCAAGAGAGACAGAGATAGGGAGACAAGGGTGAGGTATAGGGACAGGGAGAGTGAGAGTGGGGGTGGGAAGAGGAGCAGAGGAGCAGAGGCTACCTGCTTTGAGTTTAATATTAGAAATTGCAGCGAGGATGATAAAAAATCATTGAAGCTGAGCCGAACTAGAGGGGCAGGAGACGGAGTGAGGAGGGGAAGGGGATGGGGCTGGGAAAGGGGACTGTCTACTGTTGGACAAGCGAAACCACTCACGCTCTAACCACAAAGTAATATCCTGCAATTTAAACTTAAGAAAAATAAGGAAGCGTCTTTGATTTCCGTGTGAAATGATGTGCTCTGAGCACAGAAGGAAAAAGAAACAAGCAGACCGCACCTGAGAGTCCTGAGAGTCATTGTAAAACTTAATGGAGAATTTTCTTGATTCGATTTATTATTTGCTTAGATGGCTCAATTTTATTATATATTTTTTCTTTTATTTTTTCCCCATTCCCATTTTATTATTGCACTTATATGATAATTATTGTTGCGACTACAAATTGGCTCCGTTTGGTGCATAGGTACTGGTGAGTACTGGTAGGAACAACCTTTTAGTTTACACAGTTATCCAAATCAAACTCACCAATTATGCGATTAAATATCTTACTAAAACTTGGACATCAATTCATTGGCATCTTGGGAAGACTTCAAGCAAGGAGGAACCTCGCAACCGCTGGCCGCTGGACGCACAGACTTATTTTAGACATAGGAAGGAGGTCAACTTTTAAATAACCCACCTAAGGTATTTCAATATTATCGCTTGGTTTTGAAAGGCTCCCAAAAAGCATTTCCTGTCATGGACATTTGGTAGCCTTAATTCTATCAGTTGTTACCTATAAATATATTGAAATTTATTGTTTTATTTTAGACATGGAGCTGTTCCGTGAGAGTGAAGCGCCCAAGTTCCTTGTGGGAGATTACACGGTGCATGGCCAGTTTGACAGCGGCTCCTTCGGGGACATCTATTTGGCCACATCCCTATACAACGGCGAAGACGTGGCCATCAAAATGGAGAGAGCTGATGCACCACATAAACAGCTCGCCTACGAATACCGAGTGTATAAGGCAATCCGTCCGGCACTGGGATTGCCGCAAATCTATTATTTTTGCGAGCGGACTGAATATAGAGCCTTAGTCATGGAGTTGCTGGGTCCATCACTGGACCATCTGTTCGAGCTGTGCAGCCGGCAGTTTACAATGAAGACGGTATTAATGCTGGCCGATGAGATGGTGCAACGGCTGGAGCAGGTGCACAGCAGGGGCTTTGTCCATCGGGACGTTAAGCCCCGAAACATTTTGATTGGCCGCAATCTCAGCTGCAAGCGACTGCATCTGATCGATTTTGGTCTGTCGAAGAAGTGCTGGGATCCCATTACCAGTACCCATATACCCTATCGCGAGGATCGCACCCTCACCGGCACGGCACGCTTTACGTCCATCAATTCGCATGAGGGTCTGGAGCAGTCGCGTCGCGATGATCTCATCTCGATGGGATATATGCTCATCTATTTTCTGCGCGGCAAATTGCCCTGGCAGGGTATCAGAGCATCGACGAAGCACCAGAAATACGAGCGCATCTACGAGATGAAGCAGAGCGTTAGCAACGAGGTCCTTTGCCAAGGACTACCCAGCGAATTTGCCATGTATCTAAACTACTGCTACCAGTTGGCCTTTGACGCGGAACCCGATTATAAAATGGTGCGCAAAATGTTCCGACAGCTCACCATTAAGCTTCAATGCAAAATGAACCAGATCTATGACTGGGAGATGCTCTCGATCAATTACCATCGCAATCAGGCTAATCCGGCTAGCGGTAGACGGGCACGATCAAAAGCCAGATGCCACAAGGATAATGCCAGCAGTGGGTATCCCATCATATTCAATGAGAAATGCAATCGTTGGGATTAGCGAACTGCATTCAAAAATATTCACAACTGCCAATGGATACAAAATCGTGGACTCAACTCAACTCGACACTTTAGAAACAAGAATTTCGATGCAACAGAAAGCGTACGTCATAGATTAAAAAAAAAAAAAAAAAAAAATAATGCAGTGATCTGTTGTGATTTTATTTGTAAAGTATCAGTTAGTCGTAAATCGACAACCGATTCACAAAACTGAATATATTCTTGATTAGCATCAGTAGGGGATCGACATATACATTTACAACGTCCGTCCAGCTATCCACCCAACAATGTAAACTCAACTTAGTGTAAGCTATCTGCATAAAGTAAGAATGCTCTAGTTCACAGAAAGAGCTCGGCTGATGGATACCCTGAGTCAAGCTGTTGATTTTATGTTAGCGATCAAGTTTTTGTCATTTTCAGTATCATTTTGGATATAATTAAGATATTATACCTATGCCAAAGTGAAACTGTCTAGTTTAGGATATGTTATATTAGAATAATCTTAATTACAGAAATTAGCTCTCAGATAAGTTGTAGTAGAACACACATAAGATATGTGTAATGCATGTATAATATGATGTGGATTATCTGTCGAAATGAATAGGTATCTGCTAGTCGAGTTCTCACTCACTCACACCAACACTTGTTGGGAAAACATGCATACATATAACATGTACATATCTTTATGTGTCTTTATGCACTACGTACAACGCTGATGGATCCCGAACTCGGCGGTTTCATTGCCATATTCATTGTTATTTTCTTTGTTGTTGCTGTTTTTTGTTAGAGATACTGTTTTACCGTTTGTAGGCTGAGGCTCATTGCCCGTTGTTCGTTGCCAGCAAGTTTCATGTATCGCATCGTTTACTCCACGCCTTTTATACTCTTGCAATGGGTATTGTCGCTTTGTCTAAAGTCTGCACACATAATAACTTCATTTATTAGTCCAGTTCCAGTTCAGTTCGGTTCAGAACTAGTCTCTCAGTCTGCTAATACAAATTTCAATGTATTTAATCTGGCTGTGGATAATGTTTAGCTGGACAATCTTCCATTGTATTTTCTTCATATATTTATCTGGAGTATTCACTTTGTAAATATTCAATATTTAAAAGTATCGTTCACTTAGAGAAAAGATGGCACTGAATTTAAGAAAATTGATAACAGCACGCAGCCTGATTGTTGTCTAGATTTGCTTAACTGACAACAAGTTGTAACAAAATGTACAATGGAAACTATTCAGAATCTATACCTCAACCCGACAGCAAGACTAGAACAAATCGAGACGTTCTCAAAGTTGCAAATTGGCCAGATTCTGAGCATGAGCAGTGTGTGCATATTGTATGACTATAAGCAATATCCAAGCAACTAAATAAAGTTTCGAATCTCAATCGGTCGATTCTTTTTTTTAAACATATAATGCGATTGACGGTCTGTAAGGGTATACTAACTTCGTGGTGCCTGAAATAGATTCGCTTTTTGGTTTTTTTTTGTGCTTTTTGTTCTATTACTTGCTTCTTTTTTTCTGTTTGTCACATTTGGGAAATGTTTGCAGCGGCAACCGCTTCTCCATCGCTGGTCGGCCAAAATGAAATGCCTGAGGGCATTAAATTTAAGCGACTGCCAGCCGGAGCAGTTAAAGGAGCTGAAGGAGCCGAGGTACTTGGGGGAGACACTGGCCGCGCAGCGTTCAGAGTATTTACCGCCATGTGCATAGTTTGCAAGTCTGCGCGGCCGTCGCGACACCTGCAGGAATGACCATAGCAGTGGATGGAGGCCATTTAAAACCGGAGCCGGAGTATTCCACTCTACTCCACTCCACTTCACTCCACTTCGGACATGGCCACTAACAACATCAAAAAGTGGCAAGTGCCAAGTGGCAAGTGTTTGCCCTGGTCAGCGTAGCCCAAGCCAGCAGCAACATTCTTTTTTTTCCTCTATTATTTATACCCTTTACAAATCGTATATGGAGCCTGCCACAATGATTACCGTATTTCTGACACAAAACAAATCCATATGTCTTACTTTTCATCCAAGATCACTAATCCGTTAACCTTGTTAAAGCCGATCCGATTTCTATGTGGAATAAAAGTTTTGGTCATTTCTGGCATCCGTTTAGCCTAATCAAGTAACAATTAAAAAGCCTGCTTCTACTATGCCCAACATTTCTGTTGTGGAGCGATAAATAGAGGAAGAGAAGGTAACGAGAGAGAGAGATATATAACGAGATAGAAAGAGAGAGAAAGAGAGTCACTGAGTGAGATATAACTGGTCTGGGAAATATCTTGTATAAAATTGCACTCGAGGAGAGGATGGCAATCGGAAAGTGTACAGCTTCCGGTAATGGTTACAAATTAATTCCACATTTTATTCGCTATTCGTTGCCCAATGGTACTATATAAATAAGTTCTAATTAAATAGTTTTTGTTCCGGTTTTGAATTTCAATTTTTCCGTTTCGGTTGCGTTTTCATTCATGGCAACAGAGTAACGCCCAGTCGGTACCTCTTTACCTGAACACTTTTGTTTGTTCGCTTTTTCTTGTCACCATTTTTGGCGATGTAACATTTTTTTTTTTTTAGACTCAGCCCTTGTCGAATGCTCTCATTCAGCCCCCCAGAATTCAGACCATGTGCCCTAATGTGTTCTGGCCAAATATATAGGTATATATATGTATATACATATGTATGTATATATAGCAACAGCAAGTTTTTTGGTGCACTTGTTGGCCACTCTCTTATGCACATCGATTTTCGCTCAGTGCTTTTTATTTGCCAGACATCCAGCCGGACAAGAAAGCTGTACGGCTGTAGTATATGTTGTAGATGTTTGTTTGTTCGTTTGTCCAGCGTTTGTTTATGTGCCGTAACTGGTCAGGAAATTTCGAAAGCATCATTTAACCGGGCAAAGTGCTTAGGATGGCCCAAATTTAAAGGGCCTCCCCACATTCATTCCACACCTTGACTTGAGCATTCGATGATCACTTTGCTGAAATGCAATTAAAGACCACAAACTAAAAAAGTTGATATTTAGATCATTTATAAAATACAGCAATTATTGGCCACGCCCACTCCTACCTTCGTAATCATCAAAATCGATATATCACCAAACTTGAAGCGCAGATTGCTGCAGATCTTCTTCGGACAACGCAGGCACTCTAACCATGCACTTGGCCCAAAAAAATATGAAATGCCCCCAGTTTCTCATATTTGTATGTATATAAATAAAATAAAATATATAATAATATGTAGTTATCAATCAATCAACATAATATGTAGTTGTAGTCTGTGTTCCTGTGCATGAAAAGTACAACATCTTCACTTCACTTAATCAGAGACAATATGTTTCCTCCCCAAAAAGGACAACAACCATATACATATATATATATATATATATATTTGGCCAATCCATAATTGCCTGGCAAGGCTCACAAAGCATTTCGTTGCGCAAATAAATAGGATGCAATTGCTCTTCCTTACGCCAGTAAGGGTCTCTAAGCCCCAAGCGGTCATTAAAGAGTTATTAAAACATTATTTGCTTTGGCTAAATCGAGCTGAAATTAGGTGTAAATGTGGCAATTGGGAAATCTTTCGCAGCACCACTGTATGGATTTGTTATATGTATTATCCATTACTTCAACACATGCCTTCATGCCACAACACACAACTTGGGCTTATGCAACTTTGCGAGTGTGTCAGTCCTTTGATGGCTTCTCCATTGCCAATTAATAAAACTACTCCACTCGCCTAACTAAGTTTGTCAATTTGTGCACATCGTAATGCCCTCTTGTGCCACGCATACACCCACACACACACACACACACACACACACACACACACACACACACACACCCAACACCAGTACCCCTTTCTCTATAAAATTGCCAAGTTTGATTGTTGGTTGAATTGGGTGGGTTGTGGGGCAGCGATGAAGGCTACAGCTTTTGCTTCTCTGTCGCTAAATGTACTTTGCACTTTCTGTGTGTGTGTGTGTGTGTGTGTGTGCGTGTGTGTGTGTGTGTGTGTGTGTGTGTGTGTGTGTGTGCGTGTGTGTGATGTACATTTTACAATATTGCATATTGTGAAACGCACTTAAATTCAATTAAGCTGCAAAAGACAGAGTCTTGCAAAATCAAAGGGCGCTCAACTCATGAACCACATGCGTCCAACAAAGGCAAACCAACGATGACGATGACGATGACGATGACAAAAACGTTGACGATGACGATGACAATGATGCTGTTGCTGTTGCTGTTGCTAAAGTAGCAGAAGAAGCAGCAACACGATATGCAAGGCAAAGCAGAACGCCAGTCGATAATTCGCTTGCCTTCGCTGAGACATGTTCTCTGATCAAATAAGAAGCCAGCCTTTAGTCTGCTTAGTGGCATTATGTATGATATGATGAATGCCCTCCAGATGCTTATTCAATTCATGCTCAGCATTCAAACACGCACTCGCATTCATCCAATCAGAGCTGCTGCTAATGATGTGCAACACTTTTTGTTGCAATCGCGAATTGAGTAATTGGATTATTCTACGAGCATTAAGAGTCGAGTTGATAAAGGCGTGTTCCTCTGTCTGTCTATCTGTATGTCTGTCTAACAGCTAGATAAATTTCTTTATATAATTTATATACTCTAACATATAATCGATAAGCTCTGCAGATTTGATTAGTATTGGATAATTTTAGTTGCGGGCTTGTATGTGTAATATATTCAACAGCTGTGTACGTACATGGTATCTGCAAGTCAAGCTCTCTCGATTCGAGCTTTCTAACTTGTTTTCAAATTAGTTTTGGCTTGCTTAATTCTGTGTAACGCCTTAAGGCAACGGTGGGTGGGGGTGTCGCCCGGTGTCTCTAATTTCATTTGCACGCTTTTCAACACTGATCCGCATCAATGGAGCGTCTATTCAAATGTTTTTCTAGCTGACCTAAAGGACATGTCAGGTACACTTACACATACATTTACATGCATATACACATATGCATATACATACGCTATTACACTTGAAGAAATTAAATTGTTGTTTCACATAATTTAAGCTTAAAAGAATCCACTTGTTAATCGAAGCACTAGCTTTTAAGCCGATCTTAGTATTGATTTAAAAGCTTGTCCACTTAAATAAGATCGCGAAGTATAGTTCAAGAGCTTAATTGCTCTTGACTTAAGTACAATCTGACATAACTTGTTCCATTTCGGAATTTTCGACTGTTAATTTTAACTCATAATTAGGAACATCAGTTGAGTAAGATTGTGCTCAAATCAAGAGAAGTTAAGCCCTTGATTCTTATCTGTAAACTTTACTTAAGATCTTGGCTGCTTAGATTAAGATCTTGACTTAAGTACAATCTCAACTAACATATTCCCATTATGATTAAATATATTATTAATGTTAACTGGACATTAATGTCATAAGTTAAGTAAGATTGTATTTAGATGTGCGTTCTCAACTTTCTTTAATTATTTTTATTTTTGTTTGAGTGTATTTACTTTTTGTGAACGTGTGTTTGTATGTGTCTCCATGTCTGTCTCCATTTGTATTGATAGGTATTTTATGTAGCACCTTTGCTGCTTGCTGAAGCATAAGGCAGCAGGATCTTTGTGGGGCACATCGCCTGATATCTCTTTGCATCTCTGCAACTGGAACTGATGTTGATGATGAAGCCCGGACGCATTACTCAGCTCGGCTCAGCACTGTTCTGTTCTGTTCTGTTCTGTTCTGCTGCTGATGATGTCCTTCTTCGTACAACTAATTCCATTAAAGCGAGCTCTAAGTTGATTTTCAATTGACTCCCCATTTGAAGACGATGCTGGGGGAGGGTGTGTTAGACGGCGTCTGCGCTGTCAGCAATCAACATGTTCAATTGAGCATATCCTGCTTGGGCAGGACACTGCCAGAGCGATGCTATTTTCTACACACACGAAGCGCCCCTCCCCTCCACCTCCCCTTCTCCCTCTCACTCTCACTCTCCCCCTCTCTATCAGTGTGTGTGTCCAGTCGGGCGCTCGTTCGGTTGCCTTTTACATTTCATTGGATTTTATGCGTTTTACTTTATGCTGATGTTTTTATTATTAAATTTCCTTGAATTTTCATTTACATTTTTTTTTTGTCTGTTTTCTGTTTTCTGTTTCATTTTTTATTTTTGTGCTTCACTTCTGCTTAAGCTCGCAACAGCTAGTTGCCCAACACAACCCACCCCACCCCACCGCAGCCCACTTCCTTTATCCTTACTCTAGCTGCTGATGACTCCTCTTCATTTTCACACTTTTCATTCAATTTATCGCATTTTGCAAATTGAGTGTCGCTTTCCTTAGATCTTCTCGCTGCTGCTGCTGCTGCTGCGGCTGCTGCTGCTTTATTCCCTTTTAACCTCCACACACCCCATCCCCAGTCTCCCTGACATGTCCATGACTATGTCCTGTTACCATTTTACTGTTATCTGTTACCTCCTCCAATTGCCAAGCTTTCCACTCTCCCCTGTCGCCTCGCCTTCGATTCGCTTTCTATAATTAGCAATTTTCGAATCTCTTTGCTAAAAGCAACAATTCAATTTGAATTTGAATACTGAAAAATGTATGTCTGCTGGGCAGAGGCACCAGACGAGGTCTCTCAGACAAGCCATAGATCTTTTAGGTGGTTATTTTAAAAAACGATATTTGCAATAGCCATAGGAAAGATCCGACTTAAAATACTCACCTGTCTCTTGACAGCCCATTGTTGACCAAGAAGTCGCCTAGCCAAACTAGGTATAGTCCTACTCTGCCGATATTTTGATAACGGGAAATAATTCTCAAATCACATTTTATCTAGACCAATGCATTAATTAATAATCATGATAATAATAAATGTATAATATTTATTGTGAGGGTTGGAGAAAGCCAGAAAATCGCAATCTGATCGAAAAATATACTATGGATAACACCTGTAATATTTGTACATTTAAACCTAAATTTTCGATTAAGGGACCCAGAGTCCTTGGATTCGGTTTAAGATTAACAACGACAGATTCTAGAAAGGTTTTATCTTAAGCCCATGCTCACAGATTTTATCCACACAAGTATTTTTGTAGCACGTTAGCCCACAGGAAATTCAATTTAATTTAATGGCTTGAATCAAAATTTTTGGATACACATTTTAATAATCTTAATTGTATAGTCGGTCATCAGTCGGTGCACGACGCCAAATTGTAGCCTGTGTACGACTAGTACAAATATCATTCAACACCTTCAGTTGTTGGTTGCTTACTCCAACCAGCCAACCACCCAACCACCCAAGTTAACCATCCAACCACTCATCCCATCCACCTATTTTAACCCATTCGCGTTCCAATTCATTTTTCAAGCTCTACCCCGCCCACAACCCACTTCGAAACGACCTTTTGGTACCGTCGCCTTATGCACGGTTCATTTTTTGGCAGCTCATGAATATTCATGGACATGAACGCACTAAAGGCCCGGCTAGCTATCTGGCGACGTCAGCAGCCCCTCAGCCACTCATGGCTGGATGACAAGGGGTGCGCGACGGGAGGAGGGCAACTGCGGAGCAGTGGAGCACTGGAACAGTAGGTAACCAGAGCGGAGATCGTGTCGTGACACAAACGAGCAAGTGTTCCATCTGAAAAATATGCAATTATTATATTATATTATATGAGAAATTAATAAAAATACTTTTTATATGAGAAATCTCCAAGGACTTATGAGTGTAATAAAAAACAATTATTTGTTACCCAATAAATATGTATATTAGGATAAATGCAAGGAAGCGATACGCAAAAGTCATTTTGGGCAAGCACAATTCCAATTTGTATTAGTTGAAAATGCAAGTAAAGATGAATTCATGATTTCGAGTTGAGGACAGGGCACAGTTCGTGCTAAAAGTATTTGGACGGGCGACCATCTCCAAGTGCCCGGTCGCATTATGCAAGCCATATTTTTTTGCGCGCTTACAAATTGTTGACGCCCAGCAAAGATTGCCAGCCCCACACTTGCAACCCGGCGAGGATTTGGGGCGGGAATGAGGGTGTTGCTGGGGGCGGGGAGGGGAGGGTAGGGGTTTGTCTAAAGTTGACTGCTGCGACTGTGTGTTAAATTAATGGCAATTGAGCTGCTTGTCGGTGTTGTGGCCTGCTCATGCAGCTCCGCCTGCTGCTGCTGCTGTTCCAGCTCGGACTGTTGCTCCAGTTCCGAAGGCTTTTCCTGCTCCTTCTCCTGCCTCTCCTTCTTCTCTGATTCAAACTTGGAGCTTGGCTTGGCGTTACTGTTGCCGTTGCCGTTGCTGTTGGGCATCGCAAAACGTTTTGTCCAGTAGCGTGCAATCTTGTCGTGCTCATTGCGATTGTTTTTGTACTGCTCGGCAATGCCGAGAACAAGCGGATCATTGGGATTACACTCGCCCATCAGCACCCAGATCGAGAGTAGCACCTTGGCAATGTTCATAACGGGCGACCAGCGCTCGTTGAGCACATCCAGGCAAATGCAGCCCCGACTGTCCACATTGCAGTGATAGATGCGCGTGAGGAAGCGGATCTGTGGCGGTCGGAATGGATACGCAGCCACAAACTGAATGTCCAGCTTGAATGTGCCACCCTCGTAGACGGTGCCGCTGGGACCCAGCACCGTTGCCCGCCAATGGAACAGATCCTGCTTATACATCTCGGCACTGCAGTTCGGTGGCGGATTCTGCGAGATGTCCCTCAGTTCGCGCCTGATCCGCACAGCCGGACCATCGCACTTGGGCTCGCTGGCTGGCAACGGTGAATTCTGCTCCAGGCGGGTGACCGCTCTGCCCTGTCGACTGGTGCTGGGCGCATCCTCGCCAGCTGACACCTGTGTCAGCTCCTCAACAGACTTGGATGGATTGGACATGCCTCAGTTCAATGGTGGCACAGTTGAGCAAATTTGGAAAATTTAATATTGAATATGTTTCTGTTGTCGTTGGGAACTTGTCAATTGTTGTCAGTTGTTTCATTGCAACGCTGACCTCTTCCACATTCAACATAACCTTCAACTCGATTTGTAGTTATGCAGATAGAAAGAGACACATCCGATTCGATGAGGTATATTTGTAGATTCTAGCTCGATATCAGCTGTTAATCTGATCAAGCCAGATAGGGAGAGACTATAATTTGTAATATAAGTTAATTAATTTAATTTGTCGATAACTCCTCTCGTTGCCCTAATACCGATACAAATCAAATTTTGTAGACAGCACTTTGTTTCGTCATCAGTAGAGTTGGATATCTAAGCTTGCCATGGAAAATTAGCTCCTTTGCTAGTCAATGATTTGGCATCGAACAGACTGCTAACGATTCTTGAGGGGTCTTACAACTATTTCAATTGCAATGAGGACAAACGAAGGGTCCTCAAATCAGTTCTTAAAGTCCTTTTGTATTTGAATGAACACACATTGAACACACTATTTCACATTTATCTATGTAAGACAACAACACGAACTAAGACAAGAGTCTATTCCAAAGTAGTGATATTTATTTGCCCGGCACTGTATATACATGAATGGTACACATTGTCGAGCACACAATCGTGCAACAGATGCCACGAATAACTTGCTTACACTTTACACGACTCGCCTGGATGAGATGAGCAGAAGGAGAGAGCTTCTTGCCACAAGGTGCTGCAAATGCGGAAAAGCAATATACTGGCAACCTGACAATGCCATCAAACTGGACACAGCCCGGACAGTTCGAGTGAGGCATCCATCCATGGAACCAAGTCCAGTCCGGCCCATTTGGTGTATCGGCAATCTTCGCTTGCTTAAACAAGTCAAACGTTAATGAACTTAAAGAAATTAATTAAAGTGCCACACTAGCAGCAGACGGATGAGGATGTGTGTGCCAATGTGTATATATAGTGTGTGTGTGTGTGTGTGTGTGTGTGTGTGTGTATGTGTAATTTTGTGCGTATATAGTGCTTAACAGCGACGCCTTTATTGAAAACGACATCCGGCTGGGCCATCAAGCGACGTCATTGGCCGCTGGGCGGGCAACTTGTCGCAAAGTGAATGAATGCAATAAAAGCAACGACAAAAGGGATTGGGCCACAACCAAGATGTACCAGCGTAGGCGTAGGGGGCGTTTCCCGGCCAAAATACACACATTCACAAACATAATGCTTATAGTGATGGCCTCTGCTTAACGGGGCGACTGGCAAATGCTCTGCCGAAAGCAATATCTATCAAAGAAAGGACCTGCGACTTAAATAACCAAAATAAAAATAATGTATCCACTACATGACATGTACAACAGTCAGTATATTCAACATTTCAGTAAAGACAAATAAAAATAAGTCCATCAGTGCTTTTATTTAAATCAATATGTATATTTGTCTCTCGAGAAATGTAAGGAATATGAGAGTACAAAATGTTGGCATTTGGCGGGTATATAATGCATACCATATCATATCATTACTTATATGAAAAACTCATCTTGCACTGACTAATTCGAACAGAATATATTTATATTATATATACGAAAGGCAGACAGAAAACTATAGTTTTCAAATGCAAAATCATAAATAGCAGTTGTCAAAACACTTTCTTGATAAACCAAAGAATAGCTAATTTTGGTTTTCAAATAAAAAATAAGACCTCAAATATTACACACTAATTAAGATTTTTATTGTTTGAAAAGATGAATCTTTTTTTAATTAAATATATAAAAATTATATTAAAATATATATAAATAATAAATAATAAAATAATAAATATATATCTTCATGATAAGTCAAATGTTGCTTTTCATTGCTTCGTATCGATTCTTGCCCAATATGACTACGATTTGGGAATTTTGGTCTTGGTGCCGAATTCGCAGAGTGCCACAGAGAGAGCAGCCACACAGCTTGCCGGGTACCGCAGAGCGCCAGAGTTGCCACAATGACTACACACACAAATGATACAATGTGAGCATTAGCCAAAGCAGCTAATTAAACTGTGGCTCTTGGCCAACAAGGTACCAGGGAGGGTAGCCAACATTCATGTGGCAACCCTTGACCAACACCAGCACGGTCAGCATAGAGCACGGCGAGGATTACACTTATTGGAACATGAGGCGAGTGAGTGATGTGAGTACTCGACCAGCTGAAAAATATATAGCATGGTTCTTCACCTGCAGATTGGATTTCAGTGTTACCACAATTTGCGAGGACATTAATTGATTGATTTAGCCTAATTGATATTCGCCGACTAACTAAATTCAATTTAAGAGTAAACAGAGCAATAAACAATATATTCTTAGATTAAGTTCGCTTAATTAAGATTCTTGATATTAGTTTATAGATCTTATTGAAAGAATTTCGTGCTAAAATGGAAATAAGTAACTTGAGCCAAACACACCCACACAGCTAATGTGCCGCACTGTGTGCTGTGGCTGCGTGTGTTGAATGCTGTGCACTCATTTGTAGACAATGTTGACCGGATCTCGAAGGTTGGAGGTGGCAGGTGGCAGGTGGCAGGTGGGAGGTGGGAGGTGGCAGGTGGGAGGTTGCAGCTGGTTGATATATATCGAATATTTCACCTTGTGGATAGTCGCAAAATTAACAAATGCGACTGACAGGCGAATGGCTATCATCGCGAATGCTCTCTGGCTGGACAGCAACAACAACAACAACACCAACGGCAACAACAATGCAAAAGCAAAAGATACTCTTTGGTCCTTTTGCGTGTCAAACGGTTTATGCACTCTCAGCTTTTATTGAATTCCATTACAGTTTCATGTCACTCAAGCCAGAGAGCAGCGCCTCCGTTCACGTAACGTCATCATAAAAGTACCACACTGCCGACCTTTCCAAGCCAGCACAATATCCACACCCCCCCGGCCACGCCCTTACCACCCACCCCTGGCACGAGGAAGGAGCACAGACTTAATTTACGCCACTTTTACAGGCCTCTTTTACAGCCAGTATATTCGGCAAGAAAATAATAAAATGCCATTCGACAGTTAATTGAAAATTATTTTAGATCTTTGTTTGCTTCTATTTTTTATTCTTTTTTTTCTACCCATTAAGATGAATTACAGTATTTCTTGCAATGTAGATCGCTGTTGATTAACCCACCGATGAAGAAAGAGAAGAAGAACTAATCAGTTTAGCGGATTTTCAAGACTGTATTCATTTCAAACAAGATTTGTATGTAAATGATACAATATTATTATAAATTATAACTAATATTGTTAATAAATAACCAAAAGAAAGTCACAAGAAATGTCGAAAGAGCTTATACATTTGTGGGTTTTTCAAATAAGATGTGCATGTAAAATGTACAGATCAAAATCAAAATTATAAATGACTAAAACTGACATTTTTTAGCAAACCAAAAAGAAAAATGTTTGAAATAAATATTCAAAAGAGAATTGCAAAAAAAAAATAATTAGAAATTGTGAAGTGAATCAGACAGAGAGAGATCTCTTTGACCACTGGATGGAAGGAATCACTTACAGTTTAGGGGGAGTTGCCAGCTGGGAGACGGGAAGTTTTTGGCATTGTTCTCACTGGAACCTGGACCTGTTGTCTATGTTTTCTCTCTGCTCGCAAAACGGGACTTCTCGCATCTGTTGCTGACAGCAGCAACAACAGCAACAACAACAGCAACAACAACTCTTCTAACAAAATGTCCGGCTTTTGAATATTTGTGCACCCAGCAGATGCGGGTACACCAGATCCAGCTGGAGTGATAATGCCAGACAGTAAAGCCACTCCAATATGCCTGTGTGTGTGTGTGTGTGTATATGTACATATATATGCTTATATGTTTATATGTATGTGCCTGGACAGGCATCAGTCACAAATGCCCAGACAAAGATGCTTATCCAAAATGCTTTGAGAATCACTTTTCTACCCCAGGGTATAATGTAGTTGGGCAATTGTATGTAAAAGCAGCAGATATTATAAGCTATATATATATATATATAATATATCTCTACGAATGTCGGTTTCTCAGAGACTACTATGCAATACAATAAAGGCTAAAATCTGTCAAAAATCAAGGAACAAATTTTTTCACATCAAATTTTCATAGCATTGATAATTATTTCCTATTTGCTGGCGAAATTGAGTACAGATATCTTGAAAAAAGTTATATCGATGTTAGCCAATATGGAAGAATGTTCTGAAGACTTAAGAATGACAGCCAGTAATTCAAACGCGAGTCGCTTGGGCTTTGAGCAGATGAGATTGTTGGACTTCTGTGGAGTAAGGCCGATGGCGCAGCCCTTGTCGGAGTGGTTCGAGGAACTGGAGGTGCTCTATGAAGCAGCGGGCGTCGAGGATCACAGCGTTAAAGTCTTTCATGTGATGACCATTTTGGAGGAGGACGTAAGCGATGCCAAATTGGAGTTGCTGAAATTCCCGCTGGTCTTTGCCACTAATCCATATGACGGCCATACACCTTACGAAAGGCTCAAGGAGCAAATGCTGCGTGTATATCAAGATATGGAACTAAAAGACTAAAACTGGGAGTCTTTTAACCATATGAAGCGACCTGAATGACCAAGTCTACCATTTTAAAACCCAGTACAATATGAATAAATCGATATTCTATTCGGCTAATGCTTCGTCTCATTATCATATCATCATTGTTGTAGAGACTGTGATTCAATTGAAAAAATAAATATTTGTATTTACGAATTTAATTTGAAATTGTGTCTATTGCAATTTGTGCAGACTGATTCATATTTTGGAAAACAAAAGGTAAGGGTATGTAATATTGCTCTCCACTGTAGTAATATTGAAAGACGCACTTGCTTCTCGATTGCCATTTGATGAGCGGTGCAGGTGAGTGGCATTCAGTTTCCTTTGTCTGTGCAACAACCAAGTTATAATCACGTGGAGTTAATCAAAACCGAATTGAATCAAACACATCGCTCCTTAAGACAATGAAATGCCAATTAGAAGAGCAGCACATGTCGAACAGCCC